CGAATGTTCATGTTGTGGTATCGCATTCTCAGAACTCTGAGATTCAACAGGTGCCTTCTCACTAAAAGCATGAGTAGATGGATCACCAAGATCACATTTTTCATCTTCTTTCTTGTCTGTGTGCTTAAATGACGAATCAATATCTTGAGTACTTTGTGCCTCATGTACTGGAATTCCAGATTTGCTAGCTGCCTTCTCATCATTGGCATGTGTAGATGGATCAAGAAGTTTGTGACTTTCATGTTCTATGTTGTCTATCTGCTTAAATTGTGAATCGATGGCTTCAATACTCTGTGCTTCATGTATTGGTGTTCCTGAATCGGCATGAGAACGATGATCAAGAAGATCATATTTTTCATCTTCTTTAATGTTCTGCCCAGAATCTGCATCCTCTTCCAAAAGGACATCTTGAAGCAATTCAGACCGTTCGAGCACCTCCTTGTTCTCCATGGAGTTCAATTTGGCTTGCTCAGAGAGAATATCTAAATCTTCCACTGATCTTTCTCCCACTACAGGTATTCCCGACTTGATATCTTCTGTGCTTGAATTTTGATTCAACTGAGATGTTCCAAGAACTGCAAATGTCTTTTCATGATCACGAATGGAGTCTTGATCTTCTTCTTCTTCTTCTTCATGAAACCTTGGAGTGAAAGGCCTGATATTGTGTAGAATGGATATACCTTCAAACTCATTGAAGCTTCTTAAAACCGGTTCTTTGACGCTAAAGTCACCAACCGCATCTAATTCGGATAATATCCCTTCATCAATTTCCTTGATGCCATCTGTTTCTTCAACTACGTGTTGCATTTTTTCATGGAAATCAATTGCTTCCATTAAAAACATATGGGGTATTGGATGGGGTATTGGCGCATCGATGAGGTCATCATCTTGTGGTTCATTAAAAGAACTCTCTATTATGTCTGATTGTCCACCATCAGCTGTTCGGAGAAGAATTGCAGCAAACGCAGGAGACTGTGGAGTGACTGTGTTCAGATGAGCCTCGCTGTCAACATCTTTGATTCCTGAGACATTTGATTCGCCTGTCTCCTTAGACGACTCCATCAAGATAACCGGTGGCTCCTGCTTTTTATCACAAGAAGATAATATCACTAAGATTTCCACAAACAATCATATAAATGAGGGAGCCCAATACCTTATATTTTCTATTATTTGTTTGATGACTAATGACTTAACATGCCACACAAGATGGTCGCTTTTTAGGCATAAGTGAGGTTGAGAATCACACACACTAATCAGATGTTACGCTACACGGTATCTTTTGTGCAAAAATAAATAAATAAATGTATATTACAATTTCACTAACCTGCAATTCTGTATGGCCTTTAAAATCAAGATTTGATATCAATTCTTTTTCTACTACTACTTGTTGTGATAGCGGCAAGACAGATAAGGTTTCTTGAGTGATTGGAGTAGACTTCTCCATTTCCTGATTTCTCTCCACTTGCACTCCAGAAGCAAAGGAGGATGAAAAAATTTCTTTCGCTCGGGTAGGGCTTAGATCATAAACAGGCTCCCTGTATTGGTTCTCATCCACAGCTGCCCCTCCTAATGAAGTTTCAATAGACACCGGGTTCGAATGATTTTTTGTTGCACTGGGATCCAGATCTTTAGCAACACATTCTTTGTGGACTGGACTTGGCCCCAGCTCGTAACAATGCTCTTCACTTTTCCATGACATCTCAATCTCATCACCCAAATTTTTGGCTTCCAGATCAGTAGCCGAACCGGTGGAGTCAGTTTCAGGGACTGAACTAATTTTTGAATCACTGAGTTCACTCGATTGTCTTTGAAACCGCGAATAGCTTGCTCCTTCCAAACCGGTCCCTTGTTTGCTTGGACCGAATGATGATGGGCGTACATTAAAACTCTCATGGCGACGAAAGAATGGATCTTTGGCATGAAAAGTCTTGAATTCTTGTTGGAAACTGTCTTCCATGAGATCAGGTTTCTCTTCGTTCAAGTCGTAAGGGATATCAAAAGGGTTGCTTCTGGGTAGCAAAACGGACGGGGCAGATCCTGGAATAGGTGGAAGTCCTATACCATAGAGATCATCAACAGGGACATCAAAAGGGTTTTTTCTTGATGTCGAAATGGGAGAAATGTTGAAAGAAAGATCAAGTACACTTTCGAAATCAATCAGATTCCTTTCCATTGTTGTCCTTCTGCCCTTCCTAGCTCTTCTCCTGGCAATGAGACTTTCCAACCGTTGGTTCCTTTCAATCTCAGAGCTTCCAAGATCCATTAGATTCTTCTCGTCCTCCTCCGTCCAAACAATAGCTGCACCTTCTGTTTCTTCTTCTCTGTCACTGCTTTTTTCTTTCGCTCCAGCTTCTCCCTCTCGGTTTTCAGTCCCGTAATCTGATTCTGATTCTGATTCTGAATCATTATCATGGTGCGGGTTGTTGTTGCTCTCTTCTTCATCAAGAAGAGGATGGAGCTCGCTAAGCATCGGGATGATGTCAGCCATTGAAGCATCCGGGGAAGAACTCTCCGCTCCATCCGAACCTGAATCCGAAACCGTATCACCAACATCCTCTCCTTCCTCCCCATCTTGGTTCCAAGCGACCCTCGCCAGTTTGGAGTCACTATCGAACTCAAGATTTTCATCATCGTCGACATTAGGAACCCGGGAGTATTGATGGGGTTCTAGAATCTCCCTATTGACAAGAGGAGAGCCAATGTTCACCATCTTTGAGTCAAAGGAATCCACAGATTTCTTATCAAAATCAAGATTATGATAATCCATATAAGAACCAAAGGAACCTCCAGGTCGTTCATAATCAAAATCAAGATTCTCATCATCCATATTAGGAATTGGAGGGTACCCGCGCTCTAAAATCCCCCCATCGAACAACTCAACACCCCGAGATTCTTTTCCAACATTACCCAAACTCCGCTCTAATTCATTACCATTTGATGTGTTTGTGTGTCGATCAACGCAACGATACCTCTCCTCCTCCTCCCTCTCAACGACAGTGGCGCTTGGCAAAACCCCAGTTCTCAGAGGGATTATACCATGAACTGTTTTCTCATCTCCTTCCCTTTCAGCCTGGGGCTTGTTTGGATGCCCAAAACTCAATAAAGTTCCAAGGAGGATGGCGGTGCAAATGAGAACAGGAGAAACAGACACCAATACAGAAAACACCAAAGGGAATGATCTATGCAGAAATGCCAGAAAACAAAGAAACCCCACAAGGAATGGATGGTTGGATGTTGTTTCATAACATGTTTTGATTGAAAATATTAAAACTTTCTTCGCCTGAACCTCAATATCTAGCAGCTGAACACCCATTTCTTCTTCTTGTCCTCTCCTTCCAGCTCCACACCCACTTTTTATATTAAAAAAAATGAAAATCTGGGATAAAAGGAAAATCCAAGAAACAGCCAAACCTCTGTCAGCAGATCAAGTCAAGCAATAAAACAGTCAAAAACACCCAAAGAAATAATTGACTGAGAAGAATCAAAAGCCAGTGCCTGAAAACCCGAAAGTGATGAACTTTTCACTACTCAAGAACAACTCTTTACCTCTGCAAGCGAAGGGTCGAAGCTTTTATGCTATGGTTCAATGTGTAGAGAGGGGTGGATTGTGTGGAGAAGGGAGTAATAGAAGAGAAAGGTTTGGGAAGAAGAAAAGAACAATGGGAGAAAAGTAAAAGTGGGTCCCATTTCTTTCTTTTCTCTTTCACGCCTTCCCTTTTTCTAGTCTGTTTTTTCTTTTCAGTGACCAAAGCCAACTCATTGCTGGTGTGTCACTTGACTCACTTCACACAAAAAATTATGGAGGATGCTACAAGCCTACACCTACACCAAAATTTGTACCCCAAGGCCCAAACTTACACCAAAGCTATATACAAATATTTTTATAGTTTACACCGGCACAAAGTATTGGTACATTAATAAAAATTTACATTGAACCAAAATGTTGGTGCATTAACAAAAATTAGAATTACACCAACACAAAATGTTGATGCACACCTGCGGTGTATAAATGAGGTACAAATCCTTGGGGTAAATTATACTCCCGGAAAGCATAGAGTTGCTACTATTTAACTATTTCATATTCTTTTTTACACTTTAAAAAAAACTACAAATTATTATAATTCTCGAATTTTTTTAAAATTTTGTCACATCAACATTTTACATTTTTTTGTTCCATTCATTTTATTTCTATTTAATCAATTATCTACTATATAATTATATATATTTATACTATACATTGACTCTTCTACCAAATTTATTTATGAATATAATCAATCATTACAAAAATCAACAACATAAACATTATAGAGTACGAGTAGTATTTATCAAAATTAGAAAAAAATTATACTCTATGCGTCCCTAAAAGATTGCAATAGTTTGATTTTTTTGTCAAACTGTAGCACTTTTTGACTGTGAATTATAGAAAAAGTATATTTAATTATAATGTAAATTTAGTAAATTTGTTTATAATAAAATATAATTCTAAAATATCAAATTTTTATTATTTTAAATTATATTTAATTCATAGTCAAAGAATGAAACACTTTGATTAAGAAAGACAATCTTTTAGGACACCAAGGTTCAAATGACATTGAACTTTAATGTCATAGGATGACCCGGGGCCGCTCCGGTGCCCTGTTTGTAAAATTGACGGTTCCTACCCCCTAACCCCCCCGGTAAACCCCCCACCCCAGCCCCGACCCGAACACACCCCCCACCCCCTTCAATTGCAGCCCACAAGTTGATTTTGACTTTGGAGTCAAAATTTGACTCCAAAGTCAAAATCAACTTGTGGGGTGCAATTGAAGGGAGTGGGGGGGTGTGTTCGGGTCGGGGGTTTACCGGGGGAGTTAGGGGGGATAGGAACCGTTAATTTTACAAGCGGGGCACTGAAGCGGCCCCGGGTCATCCTATGACATTAAAGTTCAATGTCATTTGAACCTTCCCCTTTTAAGAATGGAGAAATATAAATTGTAAGTAAGACTAATAAAAGCAAGTGACGGAATTCTAGACCATTCATCGGATTTCCAAAACCCCCTTCTTTATCGCCTGACTCGCCCCCAACAACTCACACCACAATCCTCCGTCCCCAGACTGCTTCCGCGCATTTCAATCCGCTCCCCCACTCCATGGCCTCTGCACTGAGAGCGCCGGCGTCAGTTTCCGTCGGCCCCACCGCCAACTCCACTGCATTACCGCATAAGTTTTCGTGCGTCGTTTCATTTCCCAGCAGCAGGAGAAGAAGACGGACTTCCTCATGTCTCCCTGCTCGGTATCTCACACATCAACGCTATTCTGGACACGAAATTCTACTACCAGTGCGTCGCTCGCCGGGGAAATTTTCTATTTTTGCATCAGATGGAGAGGTCGCTGAGGCTGCTGCTCACGCAGAACCCCAGGAGCAGGATCAAGTTCAAGAGCCTGTGGTAGAGGTAATTATATTTCATTTTGGAAGAGACGAAAGTTGAATTAGGGGTTAACTCAATTTGAATAATGTTTTTTTTTGTTCTTGTTTAATTAATATGTACGAGATAGACGCACCACTATTAAATTATTGTTTCGATGTTATGCTTGAGCTGGTGAAAAAGGCCTGGGGTTCAATCATATTTGAGGCTACAAAAATGAATTGAACTTTCAAGGGTAGAATGGTTTGTAGAATAGGTATTGTGTGTGTTAAAGCCACATCTTAGATGCTTGATTATATGAGTTGTCATTTGTGTATGGTTATTGAGTGGAGTGGATGTCTTTTAATCGTAGCTGGTGTATGTTTGAGGCTGCATTCCTTTTGGAGTTAGGCACACAATAGCATTATAGGATCCCAGACCCATCACGATCCAATGAGCTTAACACCTTAAATAAAGGGTTTGTGCCTCTCTCATGTAAATGTATGACCATTTTCTTCTCTAGCTATCGAATGTGAAACTTGCTAGTAGAAAGTAATTCAATAGTTTCTTTCCCTGCCTTTACTTTCCCATTGAAAGTAATTCCATGGGAAAAAACTCTTAACAATAGAAGGGAAATCTTCACGAGTTGCTATGCATGGGTAGTATAGATTAAATTTCTTTGGCAATCTTACTCTTCATTGCTTGTTATGATGGAAAGTGACTACTTTCAAGGAATTTAAAATATAGGTCCACTCTCCGACTCTGAGATCCGAGGGGAAGTAATTCCATGTAATAAGAATCTGGTTCCTTCATTAAGGACTTCTACTCCTTTCGTTGCTTCTTAATGTTTTAGGTTTGGCATAGCACGGACTTTAAAATTTAGGAATTTATGGCTGAGATTTATGTAGAAAATAATGGAAGAATATGAACCACACATTTTTTTACGTAAAAGGGAAAAGGAAGATTACTTTGAGACGAATAAAAAAAATCAAGTATGAAGGTAAATGAGATCTTTACTCTCCTTCAAATTAGGGAAATGACTTCACTTGAGTACATGACCAATAAGTTTCTATGGTCAAACTTGCTACCAAAAGGTCTATTTACTTCCCCATGCTTCTAGGTGTTTAGAAACTAGTCACTCTTTTTAAAGAGAAACTAGTCACTTTTAATATAAGAGCTAACACCCCATCTTGTCACTGCTTGAATGTGAAGCTAGTCTAGCCAGTAGCCCACATGTATGATTATCTTAGGGGATTATGGTTTTGAATTTTATATATGTTGTTGCCCAAAGGAAATGCATGCATACTGATGGGTGGGGCCATTCGGGGAAGGGTAAAAACTAGAAGTACTCTCTCCACCCTGCGATGAAGTTTACACTTTGAGTTCATGAAGTTAAAGTGAATTGTTGAGAAGTGAGAAGAAAGAGAAATGTTACTCTGTATTTTGGTAATGAAAGAAGTGTAAACTTTATTGCGGGACAGAGAAACTATTATTAGTTGGGTAGTGGAGAAAACAACCCAGTGTTTTCTGTTAAAGTTGACTAGTGTTTTTTTGTAATAAAAGATTATAATGAATAAAAGTCTCTGATAGAGTTTGATATGTATGCCTGTCTGGTGATTTTTCCTTTTTAATATTTTCCCTCTTTTATAATCTTCTTCTTTAGCTTGATACTTTTAAATCGATTCCTCTATTCCTTAACAATGTAATTTATCAGGGGAATCAAGATGGTAATGCTAGCAGTGATGGTGGCTTAGATGATGTTGAGGCTGCAGCTTTAGAGGATACCTCTTCACCTCTTATGATTGCATTAGAGTCATACAGAGAGGCCTTGGACAATAATGATGAATCGAGAATTGCAGAATTAGAATCCTTTTTTAAGTCTATAGATAATGAGAAAGTCCAGCTTGAGAAAAAATTGCTGATTTTAACTGAAGAGCTCTCAAATGAGAAAGACCGAGTTCTTAGAATTAGTGCCGATTTTGACAATTTCCGAAAGAGGACCGAGAGGGAGCGGCTTTCTTTGGTCACAAATGCACAAGGAGAAGTTGTTGAGAAACTTTTACCTGTGTTGGATAACTTTGATAGAGCGAAAACCCAAATCAAGGTTGAGACTGAGGGAGAGGAGAAAATCAACAACAGCTACCAGAGCATTTCTAAGCAGTTTGTGGAAATTCTAGGATCTTTTGGTGTTACTCCTGTTGAGACCACTGGGAGTGTCTTTGATCCATTGGTAAGTTTATCAGGTTATCGTAATTCAAAAATGAAAACTTTTACATTGGTTGATGCACAGACATATCCATGGATTCCATGATATATATGAATGTGTGGCTGTGTTATCCTCGATGAGAATTTTGAAGCTGCATTTTCTGCATGCCTTAGCAATGGATTTCCATTTTCACGTGAATACTGCATTATCTTGAGTATATCCAAATTATCTAGAATGGAATATATTATATTTACATCACATTTTGCTGGAAATTATGCATTTTTCTTGTTCTTTCTTGGAATTTTCTATGCATTTATCAGTGTTGCTGATCTACTAGATTAAGTTGGAGCAGAAAACTCATTGGCTCAATGCAGGCAAACTACTGATTTTGCCCAAAGATCAATCAAATGATTGAAGAACTTTCAAAAAGCTATGAAATTTATGTATTTGCATGAATTTATAGTGTTAAACAATTTGAGACATTGTATGAAAAAAATGATGCTCAGATTGCTCACAATCCAATGAGGGCAATGACTATGTTTGCATATTTTATTGTTTCAGACATGTATATGCTAAGTTGCTATCCTTACAGCATTGGTTACTGTAGTTCTTGCCAAAGTATCAAACACCAGTTCATACTTGACAAAAGAAAATGCAACTCTGGTGCTAATATTTTTTTTTTATGGGATATAATGATTCTTTTGCTGGCAGCTGCATGAAGCTATAATGCGTGAAGATTCAATGGAATTTGATGAAGGTGTCATCATAGAAGAATTTCGCAAGGGCTTCCAACTCAGAGATAGACTCTTGCGCCCCTCAATGGTGAAGGTGTCTGCTGGTCCTGGACCTGCAAAGCCGGAGGAGATATTGAATGATACAGAAGAACAAAAAGAAGTTACCGAGGCAGGCGAGGAAGGTAGTAGTCAGCAGGAGGATGCAAATGAGACCCATTAATTAAGTGAGTATCTCTGTCCAAATGCCATCTCTATTGCCAAAACAAACTCTTATTTTTTCTGATGTCTTGTACAAGTAAAACATGAACCAAAATGTTCCGCACTTCAAGTCAAGTCTTGGTTTGTGTATTGGTTTGGTCTCGGTGAGTTTATGGATGCATATTTGAAAGCCCGATTGATTTTTGTTACTGACTGAGCATTGGTGCAAACATTGTCATTTCACTTGAATGAATGATTACCCTAATGCAGTTAGACTTTCAATCTGTTAAAGTCTAATATATTGAACCCTAGGGAAGATCAATGAGAACTCACTGAGGTAGGCAAAGGTGGTAGTTAGGAAAAGGATGCGAGTGAGATTCCTTAAGAGAGTAGCTCTGTGCAAGTATTATCTTAAATACTTGAGTACCAACCAGAATTCCTTATACTTTTAAGGGCCGTTTGGTGAGCAAAACCGTGTTAAAATGGAATGGGTCTTGATATCTACAATGAATGAAATGAGTTTTGATGCTTAGAATTCGGTTGCTTGTGAGGTTTTGAGAGTTAAGCATGTGAGGTTGGGTCATGCTAGAGTGCCACCACATGCATGCTACCATGAGTGTACTCATTCTTCGCACAGAGTGCGAAGCATGGTGCACCCATGGTAGCACTCATGTGGTGGCACCCTAGCATTATTCTGTGAAGTTTTATTTGGTCACACACCGAGAGGAAAAACTGGGTTGCAAAAATAATTGGATGCCACCACCCTTCGCGAGGTTTTATTTGGACAAATTTGATTTTTGCTAAAAATTATAGTGGTTACATTATTCAAAAGTAGTTTTTGGTTAATGCATATATTAATTATTAAAAAAGAGAGCTCAAAGACATTTAACTATCCAAGCCCAAAAACAAGTTACCTCTTGCAATCTCCTCTCTCTTATAAGCTCGAAGCTACCATTAATGATTTCTTAGCCATTATTATGTGTCGTGTATGATTTTCGATATTAATATAAACTCTCCCATTCGCATGGTACCATCGAAAAGCCCACACGATTATCACTTGATTGGGTTTCCACGTAAAGCCCATTTAATCGTATTTTTGTGTATTTTGCTAGACTAGTTTATTAATCTTGTCCAGCTAAGAATGATACACTCAAGCAAAATATTATACATTATCATTTAGTGCCATTTGTGGGACTCGAGCAAAACAGTTGCATTCTTGTGTTCATTGTGTTGTGTGGCCTAACTCGAAGTATAGATGATAGGTCACGTTGCAAATGAATGATAATTAAAATTACAATCGCTCGATTCCAAAAATGTGTAGTTGGTGATGAGAAAGGGATGGTCCCAATTCATCTTCTGCTTAAGCCAATTCTGAGATTCAGTTCAAAAACCTAAATTTCACACTAAAAATTCACATGTAATGCCTTTGAAATTTGTATTTCACTATATTTGTTTGAGGACTCATTCTGAAATCGCTTTCTGTTGAAAATCAATGTTGCAAGGGGAAAGAAGAGCACCCAAAGTTTGCCTGTCTTATTTGATCGTAACAAGAATGAAAATGTTATAATTTAATGGCAACCACACGTTCTAGATGAGAAAATCTATCAGTCGCTGGTAAAAATAATTGCTGTTGGCGCTAAAATTTATGCACGAATGAAATAAAAGAAACCGTATGACACGAAGAACTAGTAAAAAACGAAGGACTACTAGCAAAGATTGTGGCAAATTTTATGGTAGAGCCGGCTGTACCTATCTCGGGGTGTAGCCGGTTGTGATTCGAAGGAGGCGCAGATCGCGAGGAGCAGCGAACACCAAATCAACGAAGGTCGCGAGGAGCAACGAACACCAGATCAGCGAAGGTGAAGGTGATGGTGAAGATGATGGTGGCGAAAGTGAAGGTGATGGTGGAAAAGGTGATGTTATGCTAGATCAATGAAGGTGATGGTAGCCAAAAATCTTAGGTGGCAACTTTACAAATGGGAAAAGTCGGTGATGTCAAAATCCTAGGTCTGCTACATGGAAGAGTTCATCGTTTCAACGAGGAGGATCAAGAGGGGTTGCAGATTGATTTCAGACTCTTAGCAAATGTGGAGTGAACGGTAAGTTAGTGGAGAATGACACTACTTTAATAGTATAGTTGTATTGAAGAAATGTGTGAAAAATGAGTATTATGTTATTTCAAAATAAGTGCTATATTATTTCAGAATAAGTATTATGTTATTACAAAATGAATATTATCTAGTTGTACCTTATTTTTGGTACATTCGCCAGCTGACTATGCCATTTACAGACTCAAAGATTGAAACCAAATTCAAAAGGAAAAGGAAAATCAAGAAGGAATCTAATCAACCGAGTAATGACCTAATAGTACACACATGTGAGTACAAAATATTGAAGACGAAAAACTTATCTATTTCTTTGAGTTGATTCTCACAACTCAGAAAGTGAGTACTCATTGATGGAAAAAATTATGTAGAACGAACATTCTGGCCTAATTTTTTTTTATAAATATGTACAAAGATTAGTCACTTCTCTCCCTATTTAAGGAAGAAGGCCGTTCCTCATCAAAGGGAATGCCAATCACACAGTCGACTCTACCATTTTCGTGCAAACTCCTTTTTTGCACTCTCCTCTCTCACATACACCATCCATATTATTAATCTTCTTCCTTATAAACTCAAAACTTCCATTAGTGGTTGTTAAGCCACTATTATGTACCGTGTACAAATTTTAATATCAATATACTGTCTTTCCATCACTCTTTCGTTGGCACTGTAGAAAATTTTGTAAGTTTTTCCTAATTGAGTTTTCATGTAAAAGTTCATTTGTTTGTATTTAGGTGTATTTTGTGATATTAGTTTATAATTCTTGCCTAGCTAAATCAATACACCTTGTTGAAATAACTTATAACCATCAACAATTTTTAAGAAATTATTCTCATTAGGATGAAGAGAAAGGATGAGAAGTACTCTTCATCAGGAAGGAATAGTAGTCCGCGAGAAGAAAAAAAGTGGAAGGGACGGCAAATCCTCATGTTTAAATAGAAATCGCCCTAAATAAGACAAAAACATAGAAAAATTATCAAAATAGGAGTTTCATATTTTTATTTCCGAAATAAGATTCCGCACTATGGTAATGATGTTGTAATGTGGCACTATACATGTACACATTACTATACTTTTTGGTAATGTACATGACCATGTTTGGTAATGTAAATGAATTTTAACTCTTATTTTGGGAATAAAAACATGGAAGTCCTATTTTGGTATATTTTCAATGTTTTACTCCCACTTTGGTCTTTTTCCCATGGTTAAATTATATTTTATAGGATTAAATTTAATTAATTGTGAGTTTTAAAATTTGTCTAAAAAAAGTTTGAGTTATGGTGTTTTAAATGAATTTTTTTATTTGTTCTAAAATGAAATATCAATTATTTAGTATTTAAATACAAAGAATTCTTTAAATATATCCAAGGCCGGACCTGAGGGAGGACGGTGCAGGCAATAACTCGAACCTCCTAAGTTTAAGAGGCCCCAAATATTTTAAGCTTAGTGTTATGAGTAACTTAGAAATATATTTTTAAGTCTAAAAATTATTTTTTACGCATATTTTTTTATGTTTGAAGGTAGAATATTATTCTACAAGATTACTACTAACACTATATTCACACATTTCAATGTCAAGTTTGGGTCCGTTTTGCAGGACTTATTTTTTCTACTTATTACTTGTTTTTATTAAAATTAGACCAGATCAGACCTAATAAGATCATATTCAATCAGATCATATCAGATTACATCAGATCTAATGAGATCCAATCAGGTCAGACCAGATCCAATCAGATCAGACCAGATCCAATTAGATCAGATTGAACCAGATTAAACCTAATAATATCAAATCAAGAAAAATATAAAAAATACTCCGTAATATTTATATTTTTCATGGATTAAATAATAATTACTAGTATTTGATTAAATCATATTACTTTATTTAAAACTACACACACCTAAATCTTATTTAATTATTATTACTGTTGTTATATTATTATTATAATTATTATTATTACTATTATTATATTTTAACTACAAACCATCAGTTTTAATAATTGCTTAGCTATAGGATAGGAATGATGCACGGAAGCAATGTTAGAGCTTAAAAAGTTGTATTTTTCATACTTTAAAAACAATTATTTTAAAATACTAGTTTATAAAATAATTATAAAAAACTTAATTTTCAAAACTATAAATATTTTATACTTAAAAAGACGTACTAAGATGGTATAATATATCCAAGGGTGAGTTTATGACAAAATTGATAGAGGTGAAAGAGATATTAGTGTTTAAGATTTTATATGATATTTAATTTGTAACATGAAATATATTATTATGTAATATGGATACAGAATAGGATATTTTTGTAGAATATCATCCATATTTTCTGATATTTGGTTATTTTAATACCAATTATTTAGTTTTCACAAAAATTAAAAATGTAGTGATATTGAAAAGATGTTTACTATTTCAAAAAAAGTTTAAATATATCAATGATTAGTTAATTTTCTTGTTTTACTTTTTTTTATGTAAATATGAATTGTAATACTTTAAAAATATTAAACTTTGTAATAATTTTAGCTTTAATTTAAATCAAATTTAAATTTATCTACACCAGATCTAATTAAAAAAAATCATATCCAATAAATTAGATCCAATCAGACCCTATAAGATCAGACCTGACCCAATCAGATTAGATTAGACCCAATTAGATCTGATCAGATCCAATTAAATCTGATCAGACCTAATCAGATCAAACCAGACCCAATCAAATCAGACCCAATCAGATCAGAACTTCAAAAATGTAAATCAAATTCAATTAGATCAGGCGTACGGAACAGAGCCTCAGCGACACAATTCTCAACTAGTGACACTTAGAGTACCACATTAGTTCATTGTACGCTATTAGTTCATACTCCGTATGTTCTAATTTCTTATACATTTTTTTCATATTTTTTTTAAAAGTTAACAAAAAAATTCTAAAAAAGAAGGAAAGAAGGGTGGAGTGCCACACCAATGCCTCTTCCTTCCCACTCACACATTGTGCTTAGCGTATAGCGAGTAGTTAAATTGTGTGTACTCACATTGTGCTTAGCGTATAGCGACTAGTTAAATTGTGTGTCGGGCCATTTAGTGCTGCGGATGCCCTAGCTAATAGTCCAAACCCCAACAGAAGTGGCGGGAATGTGATCAAGCCTCTTCGTCATTTTTCCCAACTCTGTCCAGCCCCGCATCAAAGCTCAAGCCAATAATGAAGGGCGCCAATGCTAGGAAGCGGCAGCCGTCGTTGGCAACGCCATCACCGCAGCAGCAGCAGAAGAAGTATCACGCTGCCATGGAAGAGGAGGACGTAGACGAAGACATATTCATTGATGAAACGCTGCTTCAGTACGACGAGGACTCTCAGGTCCTTCGCGAGCTCGAGGAGAAGCACGCCCTTGCGGACCGCCTCTGCAAATGGAAGAGGCCTCCGCTTTCCCAAGCTTACCTCTCTCAGTCTCAAAGCATAAGTGAGTGAAAGTGTAGGTTACATTGTACGAAAATCTATAACTTCATTGCATAGTTTCATTCCATCTACCTAAAATGCTTTCCACCACTCCAATTTTGTGAAATTTTGTTACCATTCATTATTCTATGATTTGTATTTTTAGCATTGAATATTGATGTCTAGGGTTTTGAACGGTCGACAAATATTCAGTTCGTTAACTTCTTTTTATTGTCAGAATAAGATTTTTCAATATCAATTTAAACAAGGGAAAAAGACTAAAGTAAGAGTAAAACATTGAAAATACACCAAAACAGGAATTCCATGTTTTATTCTCGAAATAGGAGTTAAAATGCATTTACATTACCAATTATGACCATGTACATTACCAAAAGGTATTGTAAAATGCACATGTGCAGTGCCACATTACCACAGTGCAAACTCCTATTTAAGGAATAAAAACATGAAACTCCTATTTAAGGAATAAAAACATGAAACTCCTATTTTGGTACTTTCTCTATGTTTTACTTCTATTTAGGGTGATTTCTTTTTAAACAAAAATGCCTCTTGATGTGTAGTGTCTGGTGAGTGAACTATAATTTTATGTTCTCCATTAAATTGAGTTTGAGAAAGCCATGTTTCTAAGATATGAGCAATTTGTGTCTTTCACAGTATTTCAGCAACTGGAAATTGACTATGTGATTGGGGAGAGCCATAAAGAATTGCTTCCCTATTCATCTGGTCCTGCTGCCATTATAAGAATATTTGGAGTCACTAAGGAAGGTTTGTACAATTTCAATGTCTTGCTTTACATACACAATATTTTGAATCAAATTATTAGCCACATGCTTTTTTCTTTAAAAGGACTGAGAATTTGTATTTTATAAAAATGAACAGAACCTACATACTATTAATTTTACTTCACAAATGTTTAGATATCAATTAGGGATTGTTTGGAAATACATTCTAAAACGAAATTGATTACAACCAAATATTTTCTGCTTCAAGTGCATGACTCTCTATGTTGTGCCTTTCTGAGGAATATCCCTTGGTATGTTTGTTCAGGTCACAGTGTTTGTTGTCATGTACATGGATTTGAACCATATTTCTATATTAGCTGCCCTGCCGGAATGGGCCCCGATGACATATCTCGTTTTCACCAAATTCTTGAGGTATGTGAATGTGTGCGCTTGACTGTGTGTATTTGAGTCTTGCATATTTATGTGGTTAAACTTTCTTCGTACTATGGTGAAACTTTATTTTCTATTTCTATGTATGCAGGATAGAATGAGGGAGGCAAATAGAAGCAGTAGGGTTCCTAAATTTGTGCATCGCATTGAAATTGTTCACAAAAGAAGTATCATGTATTACCAACAACAGAGTTCTCAACCTTTTCTTAAAATTGTAGTGGCATTGCCAACAATGGTTACTTCATGCCGTGGTATGCATTATTTCTTGGTATCTACTGCATACTTGTGTCCCCCCTCCCTATGTCACCCTTTTCTTTTCTGGAACTTTTTCCTCCCATGGGAAAAAATTATTACAGAATAGTTTTTCCCCTCTAACTTAATGCATTTCCACTTAAGACAATGAATGCATAAACAATGATACTAAAATATGGCCATCGGCCATCTATCTTATTAAGAGATGGATGGAGTTGATTTTTAATTAAAATGCGGTGATATTTATGTTAATAGGAAGTTTTAATTAAAAACTAGGAACTTTTGTATAGATAGACAAAATCTAAAATGTGCACATTGAAGAATTCAAAGTGCATCATTGATCATTGTATGTGCAATTCACAAAAGACTAATATGTAAGAGTTTGTACATGGATCAATCTTAGTGAGACTACTATGCACTTTCTACCACTGCACATTCAGGCTCATAATTACCATAATGCCACCTTTTAAAATAAAATTTATAGTTTCTGTCCCTTTTAGGGATAGAAAATCAATACAGATAAATAAATAAATACACATACAGAAAAATAAATAAATACACACACACTCCTTCCATCCTAAAATAAAGTTTACAATTTGACCTAAAAGAGTTTAAGTTTTGACAATGTAAAGGTGTTTGGTGAAAAAGTGAAATGTGTGTGATTGGAATTAATTTAGGAGGAAATTAAAAGCTAATGTCTAAAAGGGGCAGTGGAAATGTGTGAACTTTATTGTGGAATGGAGGATGTGTGTGTGTGGTTATTCTTACAATAGTTTTTTATACAACAAACCTTACACCATTTTTTTTGAACAAAGTACTCTCTCTATTTCACCACACCACAAATGTAATACAATATGAATTCATCAAGGCCTATTACAATCTACTTTGCACCATCCTGGTTCATAATAATTTGTAAGTTATATTTAATGCTAGCTAACGTCTCTTCTTCCTTCATTTCGTTCTGATGAGCTTTAGCATTACGCGCTTGCCAAATAAAGTAGCAAATAGCCAACCATGCTGCCATGGCTATACTTGTTTGCCTTGCCCCCTTCATCTTCATAATATTCTCTTCAATATGTTTAAGATTTACTCCTTCAACTCTACATTTAAGCCACTCGAAGATCTGCGAGTAAATCCCTTGAGCGAAGTCACACTTATAGAATAGATGTTCTATGTCTTCTTCCTTCTTCTCGCAGAGAATGCAGCTAGTGTCAACAATATCCATATACAGTATATTATACTTTTTCAGCCTCACACGAGTTTGGATTCTTCCTTTCATTATTAACCAGAAGATAAACCTGTGTTTTGGGATCCCTTGTTTATTTCATACCCATTTAGACCAAAAGGGGGGTTCATGAGTACCCAACAGCCAGTTATAACCCTTCTTTGTGTCAAAATCTTCACTTCTATCCCATCCCTCAAACGCTTGTCTGACCTTGATCCTCCTCCTCCAGTAGTGCCAACTGTTTAGGAGTATAATCTTAAAAATTGGTGCTCTTCAGATATCTGGAGTGTATCCATCGTACCCACAGGATTTCCTTCTCATGGGCAATGTCCCAATTCAGCTTCATAATGTTTTCCTTGTTCCATATAATCACATTTTTTATCCCCAGAGTCCCAGACCCCCCTGCTCTCTTTGGCATACAAACTTCCTCCCATTGGACTGGAGGGACTTTTCTGTACTCTGTTGTTCCTCCTTACAGAAAATTCCTGCACAACAACAACAACAACAACAACAACAACCCAGGGGAATCCCACAACAGTAGGGTCTGGGGAGGGTGTGTGTACGCAGACCTTGCCCCTACTCGGAAGTAGGGAGGCTGTTTCCAAGAGACCCCCGGCTCCATCTGCCCAAAAATATGGAAGGGAACACAGTATAACACAGATAAAGCACCAAGTACAAGCAACAAGTACAAGCAATAACAGAAGATTCCAAACAAATACAACACACCACAAAACAACCTCTACAACACCGAGCTCCTACCCAGCTACTCTAATCCTAGTTTTCCAAAGGGTCCTATCTAGGGCCATATCCTCAGTCAGGTCGAGAAGTCCTAAATCCTGCCTAATCACCTCCTTCCAATTCTTCCTAGGTCTACCCCTTCCTGCACATGGTATTAATTTTCTTCATTACTTCTTTTGGGAGGATAAAGATCCTGGACCAAAACGAGATGATACCCATGAGTACAGAATTGATCAAATTTACTCTCCCGGCATAGGAAATGTGCTTGGATCTCCAACAATTTATTTTTGCAGCCATATTGTCCACTAATTTTTTGGACCAGCTCATTGTGAAACCTATCGTAGGTTTGAAAGTTACTAGCTCATTGTTTTCATAAGAATCCAATGCTGTTCAGTTTGAAATGCACTTCATTTATGGTAAATAGACAATTATATTCTTAAAAGTGCACAATGGCATTGTCTATTTAACATAAAAAGAGTGGATTTATCCCCATTTATCAGTGTATAGTTGAGGTTCTACTGGGTTTGTTTTATTCTTTTTGTGGTACACAAACAACAAAAAAAACCTGTGTCGTTCTCACCACATCCTCACGCACACACACAAATACAATACCCACATACATTGATTTCTCACATGAAGTCATAAACATTGCTTTCCTTTTTCTCTTTGCATTATAATGCTAGTTATGTTGTTTTAAAGTAATAAATATAAATAAATCACGAGAAAAAGATCACACAAAGCGAATGGAGATGTGCAACATACTCTTGGTTGCTGAAAATGAAGTTGGAAATGAGATTGCCATTAATAATGCTAAGTTAGAAGTTACAAGGGAAAATAATGCAGCCATTGAATGCCTTTGTAAGGACATAGGAGAGTGAGTTGGTGATAAGAGGCTATTCCTACTAGTTAAGAAGTGTGAGAGGAAAGCCTGAGATTTGGAGCATATGAGATGTGTGAAGGACACCAATTATAGGGTTTTGTTGGAACTTGGAGGGAGGTGTCCAATGAGTGGGGAGAGTACTTCCATGGCCTTCTAAATGCGGGGCGAGATAGGAGGCTAGAGCTGGGTGAGTTGGAGCAGTTAGAGAGACATAAAAACTTTGGGTACTGGCTGCGCATTATTCAAGAGGAGTTGGCGAGGTCCATCCGTGGGATAAGGGGGAGAGCCTTGGGGTTGGATAAGATTCCAGTGGAGTTTTGGAAGTCAGGGGCAGTAATGGGTTGGTTTTGGTAACCAAGTTCTTTGATTGTTATTTTTAGGACGACCAAGATGCCAGACGAGTAGAGGGAGAGTGTGGTGATCTCACTGTACAAGGGTAAGGGTGGCATCATAATTATAGAGGCATCAAACTCGTTAGCCACACCATGGAGGTTTAGGAGCGTATAATAGAAGCTAGGCCGCAGAAGGTGTGCATTTCAAAGAACTAGTTTCATGACTGGCCGGTCGACCACTGAGGCCATTCACCTTCTACGGAGGTTGATTGAAGTGTATAGGGCTAATAAGAAAATTAAGAAGGATCCTCACATGGTATTTATTGAACTCGAGAAGGCATACGACAGGGTGACGAGGGAGATTTCGCAGAGGTCTTGATTTTAGAGGGGTTTCAATTGCGTAAATTCGTGGAATCAGAGTAATATATGTTGGGGCAAGGAATAGGGTGAAGATGGGGGAGGGGGGGGGGTCTTTGATTCTTTCCTTATAGAGGTGGGATTACATCACGGGTCTGCTCTTAATTCTTCTTGTTTGCCTTGGTGATGGATGTTCCATGGGAGGGGAGGTCCCTTGTTTCATGTTTTTTGTTGGCAATTTTGTGTTGATCGATGAGACATGTGTGGGTTTCAATGACAAGTTGAAGTTGTGGCGTCACTCCCAGGCATCCAATTTGTTAGGATTATTGAGCTCACTGAAATGGTGTTTTAATAGACACTTCCCTTCATATAATCCCCCTTTTTTCCACAAGTCTACAACAACAAAACCCATTATCATCGGGTAAAGAAACAAGCACACTATGTTTGTTAAACCCTTGATGCATTGCTTCATTTACTAACCAAAACTTTATAAATAGTTAGAAATAAAGTTTAATATGCCATTTTGATTTAGTCTATTATTTACCCAAGGTGTCTACTCCGTATTATTTAACCAAAGCTAAAACATTGTTAATAATGAATCTTTTAACTCCATTGGCAATGGAAACAAGTCACCTCACCAAATTAAACCACTTTTTACAAGTCGAATCACAAGATTTTTATGATGTTTTTTTTTCTAAATAAAAATGGCAGGTATACTTGATAGAGGCATTCAAATTGATGGATTGGGTATGAAGAGCTTTATGACATACGAAAGTAATGTTCTCTTTGCCCTTCGGTTTATGATTGATTGTGGCATTGTTGGTGGGAATTGGATTGAAGTTCCTGTTGGAAAGTACAAAAAATCAGCAAAGAATCTATCCTATTCACAACTGGAGTTCGATTGCCTGTATCCTCATTTAAATGAGCCAATGAGCCATTATAAGATCCACATATGTTCCTGCTTTCTTTTGAAGACATTATGTTCTTAATATGTTTTCCTTTATGGTTGTTCTTTAGCTATTCTGACTTGATCAGCCATAAGCCTGAAGGAGAATTCTCCAAGATGGCTCCTTTTCGTATATTAAGTTTTGACATTGAATGTGCTGGGCGTAAAGGACACTTTCCTGAACCTACTCATGATCCTGTTATCCAGGTTTAACCTTACCATATATCATTGGAAATTGTTGCAAATCATACATTGCTATTGAGTTTCTTTTGACTGATGCAAATTGCAAATTCTCATTTTGGTCTAGGTAGCAAACCTAGTCACCTTGCAGGGGCAGGATCAGCCATTTGTGCGTAATGTAATGACCCTTAACTCTTGTGCCCCAATACTTGGGGCTGATGTCATGTCCTTTGAAACTGAACGGCAGGTTTTACTAGCATGGAGGGTGAGTCTCATTTGTGCTCTCTGCTCTTGATGAGTGAGTCTCATAATGAAAGTTCTATTAGTTGGATAGTCGGCATGGTTCCTCTCAAAGAGATGTTCCGAAACTCTGTATCTTTAATTGTCCTTTGATTGTAGAATAGAGAAGGAGCAATGATTTTGGCTTTTGTGTGCTTTACAAATTACAATTAAGGTCAAGCAGTTGGGAAATACTCCGTAGTATAATATAGTGTCTACCTGCCTGTGCATCTGCATGTGTGTCATGATTATTTCATGAATTTGTTCAGGATAGTAAATAACGATGAAATGCACTCATGAAGACATTGATAGTTTGAAACTTTTTATCTTTATTATTTACTAGTATTCCCTTGGCGATAAGTGATGACAAGTCAAAATCATAAAATTCTGCTGTTTATATCTCTTTTTAAATTTCAATTATTTGGTTTAACATCTGCTGTTTAATCTTCTTCTGCTTATCCAATTGTAGGATTTTGTACGTGAAGTTGACCCTGATATTATAATTGGTTATAACATCTGCAACTTTGATTTGCCATATCTCATTCGCGTGAGTGGATCATCTTCTTATTTTTTACCTTGCCAAATTTTTTGTTGATGTCAACATGCTTTTCAATTTTTATTTTCTATATGTAAAGTTAATTTTGATTGATCCACGGGCACATTTTCTTGGTTGTAGAGAGCTGAGGTCTTAGGGATGGCAGAATTTCCTATCCTCGGACGGATAAGAAACAGCAGGGCTCGTGTGAAAGACACAACATTTTCTTCAAGGTCCGATAACATTTGCATGCTGAAATGTTCTCTGTCAGAAAATTTCCTCTCCTATGTACTTCAACGTTTTTGCAAAAGTGTGTGTTGTTTGTTATTTCATCTAGGACATTTAGCATCTGTATATAGTGAAACTAAAATTGCTTACATTTTCAATTTTATAATGAACCTGGAATTTAGTGTTACTTGGTTATAGTCATCATTACAATGATTCACTGGAGTAATCCCTATGCACCCTGTTGAAGGGACATTGGGGGTTTGGTCTTTTCTAACAGGACATCAAAAATATCTGGTGCTCTGCCTGACCTTTTAGGCCTTTACATGATATACATATATAATTTAATACAACCTCCGTCCTGTTTTATAAAATTTATATATTTAAAAAAACATAAAAATATCTAAAAACACAAGAGACCACATGACTATATAATTTTTTTCAAATGATATATGAAAATATGTAAAGAAAAAAATTGTTTGACCACCTCACTGTAAAGAATTAAATGGGCTGGAGAGTGTAGTACATAAATATATCAAGAGCAGCTTCCCATTCCAGTAGTTAAATATTTAGTTTTATGACTTAACCTTGTACTCTGTAATATTCTTTCCTCCATATGATGTCGAAACAATCCCAATGCAGGTGTGCAGTGTGTAACCTCCTCCTCTCTTTTTTAACCATCCCTAATTGGTATCCCTACATTAGATGTTCTGTTAATATTCCCTCCATCCCTCAAGGAGCTTCCCATATACTTTTTCACGGAGTTTATGAATAGATGAAGTTGTAGGATTGAGATTTATCCAAAGGAGAGAAATAATTTGAGCCAAACTCTTTCCTTATCAGGAAGTGAGAACTTATTTTGGGATGTCCAAAAAACAAAAGCGAGAAGTTTTTTGGGGGACATAGGTATTATATTTTAGAAGTGATGGATCTAGTATTATTCTTTTTATAATCCTCAGAGGATGAAATTTGCTGAAGTAGACTGTTGTGTATTGCAGGCAACTTGGGACAAGGGAAGGTAAAGAAATTACTTTGGAAGGGAGGGTTCAGTTTGATTTACTTCAGGTTTATAAACACAAATTTTGTTGACGGTGCATGTGATAAATAGTACTTCATGTTCTTATACTTTTCTATAATTGATATATTGTGCTCTCTTTGCAGGCTGTGCAGAGGGATTATAAATTGAGTTCATATTCACTTAATTCAGTCTCAGCACATTTTCTAAATGAACAGGCAATGCTTGTGTTTCTTTATCAATAGTCCCTTTCACAAATTCAGACATGAATCACATTGAAATTTCTAGAAAGCACTCAAAGTAGTTGACTTACTTTTCTGATCTTAATTTGGACACAAATTTAAACTGATCCTATATCAATTTTGCTAATAGTTTATCTTTAATCATGCCCTAGATATCAGGTTCAGTTTTGCTTTGTTTTTGTCCTTTTTGCTACTTCATGACATTTCGATGTTCTTGTCATATTCAAATTTAATTGATAGTTTTTCTTTACTTATGCCCTAGATATCCACTTCAGTTTTGCTTTCCATTTGCCCTCTTTGCCAGAATGCTAGTTCATGCCATTTTATTATGTTCTGGAGCTTGTATTTCTGTATAATATGGCTTCGGGGAGGATTAGTTTGTCTTTCTCCGTCCTTATTTACTCTTGTGCTAGAATTGACACAGATGTACTGCTACTCGTCTAACTGCTTCACTTGCAACAGTTTCTCTCCTGTCTTTCCTTTCAATTTTTTGGGTATTTCCTTCGTGGCTTGAAGTTATTATTTTACTTCCAGAAAGAGGATGTGCATCATTCTATCATATCTGATCTTCAAAACGGTAACTCGGAAACAAGGAGGCGGCTTGCCGTATATTGTTTGAAGGTATGTATGACCTATACGTTTAGTTGAGGCTCAACATTTTTTGGAGGATAAGGTATTATTTATCTTTCCTTCGAGGCTTTGAATTACATTGACCATTTGACAGATGGTGATGATCTTATTAGCTTAATCCACAAGTTGACTGGACTATGTCTTTCACTCCCTCCTTCCCTATTTAGTCTTCTCATTTACTTTTCATAGGGTCAAACCATTACCTGTTTTCGTTTATCATTTGATTAAATAAAATATTCTTGTCACGACTTGTTTTGTAGAATCTATGAAATAGTTTTTGAATATATAAATTTAATTTTTAAATTATACACCAGTATTTATATTAAAACTAAATTGAAAATAACTCCGGTCAGACATTGTAATCCAAAACAAGAAGGTTATTTAGGGACAGGGAGTATCACTATGTATAGACTCCTAGGTGTTTTGTTTTTATCATTGTCTTTGTTTTACTTTTTTTTGTGGCTACAGTGAGAAAGTTACTTATACTTCCTCTGTCCTCATTTTTTCTCTTTTTTACCTTTTATGATCATCCCACTATTTTATCTCACATCATATTTGGTCATATTTGTGTGTTCCACATTCATTCTTATTTTAAATTACTTTTTAACATTAATATAAACCACACATCTAACTTTTCTTAATATCCGTGTCACTCCCTAATGTCCCAAAAATAGTGGGACTGAGGAATAGTATTTTGTAAAATGATGAAACAAAAATATGCAATCATTTAGCCTTGTTTTTTCAGAGTAGAAGCTACAGGTTGAACACTTGAACTACAATAACTGTTCTTTTTAATCCTATGTTTTTCCATCATCTCCGATGGAGCCAAAATTTCACCATTTTTTGGCTTTGGGGTGTGATGGAATAAATCAAAATGGATCTCTAAACTGTCTGCGCTTCTTTAATTAATGAAGTAGCAGTTAGTCAAACAATGCAACTTTCGACGTTGAGCCGGGGGTCTCTTTGGAAACAGCCTCTCTACTTTCGAGTAGGGGTAAGGTCTGCGTACACACACCCTCCCCAGACCCTACTCTTGTGGGATTTAACTGGGTTGTTGTTGTTGTTGTTTTAATCCTATGTATTTTATACTTGAGCCAACTATTGCCTGCTGTTGACATAAACTGCTCAGCAGTTTGATTGTTTAGGATTATTTGTTAGTAAACAAATGCATGTGCTCCAATTCTTCCGCTTGAAAGTAACAATCTTACAATTGGTATAGTTTGTACCCTGACTTAATAAATTTGCATGCCTAGATGACATTATCTATAAGGGTCCGTTTGGAGTGGAGGAAAAAGACTTCTGCAAGTCATTTTCCTCATTTTTGGGTGTTTGGTGAAATTGGAAAATGAGATCAATGGGAAAATGGGCTTCAGTCAAAGGGAAAATCTGCTCTATTATATGGGAAATGACTCCCGCTTTTAAAATCGGGAGGTCATTTTCCCTGTTGATTATCTCTTCTTCCATTCTTAAGATCCCATTTTCCCTCTCTTTTCTTCCCTTGTCAAAATCCTCGTTTTCTTCACTTCTTCATCCCTTCTTCTCTCTTGCTTGTTCATCTTCCTTCCCTCACCCTCTTCAGAATCAATCTTCTCTCCTCTTCCCTCCTCTTCTGACTTTGCCATGGATCCAGCAGATGGGGAAGACAACTTTGGCCATGGCTCTAGCAGACAGCAAAGATGACTCTGGCCATTGATTCCGACGGTGGCGGCCCTGTCCTTTGTTTCTGACTAGGGTTAAGGAGTATTTATTTATTGTATATTTTTTTTATTTTCTTTAATTACGAATTTTCAGAATACTTATTTCAAAGTTAATACTCCTTATATTTGATTATCGAAAAAATAACTTTCAATTTTCTTATTTTGTACTCGAAAAGATTAATTTGATTGAACATTGCTTGGAGATTGGGTTGTGTGCTTCTCATTCTCCAATATTCATTTTCCAGAAATGAGCCAAACTAAAATATACAGTACAATTTTCATTCTTTCTCCCAAACACCAGAAAAGAAATGACTTCAGAAAAATAACTCATTTTCCTGGTTTCCACACGGACCTTAACTGCCATTGACATATATGTCAAAGGATATGAACATTTTATGTACCCGTGTATGCATAAATATGTACGTCATAGAAATATTTCATAAATGCCCCCCCCAATGCAGGATGCTTATCTCCCTCAGCGACTTTTGGACAAATTAATGTTTATTTACAATTATGTGGAGATGGCTCGAGTCACTGGTGTTCCTATTTCATTTCTATTGGCTCGGGGGCAGAGCATTAAGGTTATTTACGTATTCAAATTTCCTACTTCTGTTTGTTTGTTTTGTGGTGAAATACTTGCCTATGCTGGAGAGTTGAATTGCAAATTCCTGCTGTCAGGTTCTTTCTCAACTTCTGAGGAAGGCTAAACAAAGAAATCTTGTCATTCCAAATGCCAAACAAGCTGGGCCCGAGCAAGGAACTTTTGAGGGTGCAACAGTAAGCATATTAGTTTTGTTTAATCCATGTACCTAACCTTAATCTGTAGCATAAATCTAGTTATGTAAGCTTTTGATGGACACATCCCTTAATGTGTTGAATGTGTAACAAAGGCCTACTAAGTGAGACTGTTGCGCAACTGTTGATTTCTTTTTATACTTACCAACATTTGTATTAATATCATTGTATCACAGGTTCTGGAGCCGCGTGCTGGATTCTATGAGAAACCAATTGCTACTCTGGATTTTGCGTCCCTCTATCCATCGATCATGATGGCTTATAATTTGTGTTACTGCACATTGGTAAAACACATTTCCTTTTGATTGCAGTTCACTCTCCTGCTCTTCTGAACTCCTGCTATGAACACAAAAATATTTTGAAACATTTTTTATCATGTCTTAGTAACTTATTTACCATCCACAAGTTTGATTTTTGAATGGTATAGGTTAGCCGTTAACCGTTACTTTAATTTCTTCAATATTATAAGTATTATAAACTTTCTACACTAGCTATGTCTAACAAATTGCATCACATGATTGCTGTACTATATTGTCTATATGAATTGTTCGCTGGAGATGCTTCTAGGTTCTTTTAAGTTCCATTATTTTCTTTTTCCCTAATTTATCTGTCTAGGTAACCCCTGATGATGTGCGCAAACTCAACCTTCCCCCAGAGTGTGTACACAAAACTCCTTCGGGGGAAACATTTGTCAAATCAAATTTGCAGAAGGTTAGCTTTGAATCTGAATATGTGTTTTTGTTCTTGTGGGCTTATCTCTGAGATGTATCACTCATTCACTCCTAACAAATCATTGTCTTGTATATTCTTAGTTTCATTGCCAGTCATAAGAAAATAACTATTATCTAAGCATAATTGCTAAAATTCTCTTACTCAGGGAATACTTCCAGAAATTCTTGAAGAGCTACTGGGAGCTCGTAAAAGAGCAAAAGCAGATTTAAAGGTGTTGCTTCTTTGTGTTTTTTAGCTCCTAGAACAATTATTTCCACAGGAATTCCTTGTTTGCTTTTACTATAATCAACCAAATCTTGAGCGAGTATTATATTACATGTACTCCATTCTCTCTTGGAAATAGAATATGGCACATCACCATAACTTTTTTTGATGGCTCTCACATCATCTTGTATTTGTAAAGAAAAATTAAATATTTAAAAAGGATATGATGTTTTAGAATTTAATACAAGTCGAAGGACAAATATAATTCATAATTGTAGATGTACAAGTTTTCTAAAAGTGATCACAAGTTTCATAATCCCTTAAACCTGAACTGGTTGAGAGAGATGAAACCACAATAGCACCCAACAACAACAATAATAACTATACCCCACTGCCTCAACGGCTCCCGCCCATTGCGGGGTAAGGGGGGTCGGATGTACGCAGCCTGACCCCTATGTTTAAAACATAGAGCGGCTGTTTCCAGATGACCCATGATAAGCGTCGAAAGTTGCATTGACTAATTGCTACTTCACAATTGCAAGAAACACAAACAGTTTAAAGAGCCAATTTGTTTTATTCCATCATACCCCAAAGCCAAAAAATAGTGAATATTTGGCTCCACAGGGGAATGGAAGCCACAATAGCACCCAACATTTCATTGAATTGAAAATCCCATCAAGAGATGAAATTATGGTACACAAACAAATCAATTGAAAGCCCCTTGACTGGGAAAATTAAAGATCCATATTCCAGAAATCATTGGCGGACCTTTCCCTTATCTATTTGTTTTTTTTGGCAAAAGAGAGAATTTCACTCATTTTCTGCAATACACTAATGACTATTTACTATAACCTGTTCAAACATACATTTTACCCCAGGAAACTAAACCATATAGTTTGATTTCAGGAGGCAAAGGACCCTCTCGAGAAAGCTGTTTTAGATGGACGTCAACTGGCTTTAAAGGTTAGACATGTTATGTATAATTATATTACCTATGTCCCATTTATTTGTCCACTTTAACTATTATGCAGTCAAGTCAACTCTCTTTTCTTTTCTTATTTTTCTCTAGCAAATTTTGTCATATTCAATTTTGATTGTTGCGACTTAATAGAATTTTTACTATAGTCTTTACATACATAAATTTTAACTGCTAATACGAATTAAATATAATATAATATTAATTTGAAATTAATTTGTTTGACATCGTAATCCAAAACAAGCCTAATAATTTGGGACGGAGGGGGTGTATATCACACAATATCATTTATTTTCATTTGCATGGCTCTTCAACTGTATTCTGACATGCAAATTAGTGACACAGTGCCATCTGATGTATTTGGTTTCAGATTAGTGCAAATTCTGTATATGGATTTACCGGGGCTACCGTTGGGCAATTACCATGTCTAGAAATATCTTCAAGTGTTACAAGCTATGGTATTGCATTTTTAGAATTTTATAATCTTCTTCAATTAATTGAAAAATGGATATAAAACAACTGAAAAGTAATCTCTGCAATTATTTATCTTACAAAATTATTTATGCTTTAAAAGGACGTCAGATGATAGAACACACTAAGAAACTTGTTGAGGACAAGTTCAAGGTAATTGAGGGCTACCAACACAATGCTGAGGTAAATTATTATCAATCTCTCCTCGGACTTGGAAGCATAGCCAGATAGCCTATGCTAACCTTTTCACATTCCAATCATATAGCATGTTCATGAATGAAGTTAATGTTTTTTTGCATAAGTTATTGTGCTAATTATTTTAAACAATTAAGTGACTATTAAGTGTACTGTCCTTGAAAAATTGAACCAAAAAAGTACTATCATGCTTAAAACGAGCTTAAGTAGTATACCCTCCCTTTATTCATTTGGTTACATTTCCCTTTTGACAACAACAAATCCAGCAGAATCCAACAAAAAGTAGGGTCAGGGTAGGGCATGTGTACGCAGGCCTTACTCCTCGAAAGTAGAGATGTTTCCAAGAGACCCCCAGCTTGAACAACACACATTTCCCTTTTGAGTTTTATAATAATTAGCTAATCAATTTTTAAAAGATATTTTGTGAAAGAATATCTCAAAATCCCTATTACATTAAACAAGGTGGATGCTTTATATTCAAGATCAAGAGAACTATTCACAATCCCACGTGTTTACTCTTTCATACAGTTTCAACTTTATTGTACTGTCTCTCGGGATTTAGTTATCCATTAGGAGTTGAAGTGGTGCTCAGATTTGAATAACTACTAGATACAAATCGAAAATAAGACACATGTCATTATCCACTCATGGGAGGTTGGACTGCTGAAATTGTTATTTGTGATATTAGTGGATGAATCTGGGCCTTTGGAGTTTGGACACTTAAATCAGCCTTTGGAATCAAGCTGGGGCTGCGAGCCCCATTCAAAACAATATCTGTCGACTAAAACGTAGAAGATTACAGTTTACACAGGCTTTAGCATTTTGACCATATTTTCCCCATATAAATTTGAATTGAGATTAATCAAAATCCCATAGAAAGGTAAATGACCCCTCTATATGCTTTCACACTAAGCTTGCCAGAATTCGGTCAACATCTCACATTATTTTGTTTTTTTTTTAATTTTTGAAAAGTACTATTCTGAATTTCTGATTTTAAACTAACCTTGTTGAATATTTTGTTTCATATGGATTTGAAATTTGCTAAATGCGAACTTTGAATTTTATGAATTACAATATATTATGTGCTACATATTTATATTAATGTTACTAATGTAAAACAATTCTCATTTATTACGTGTCACCAAGCTGACCTGGCCTTAGGTCATAGGTTCATAGTTGTGGCTCATGTTGTGTGTACTTTTTGTGCTTGGTGCTTTTTGTCTCTTACGCCTTTCGTTGCCCTTAGTTTGTTCTATGTATTGTGTGCATGCTTTGTGTGCCTTTTGTGTTACCCGAGCTGTTGTCTCTTGAAAATAGCCGCTCTACTTTCAAGTAGGGGTAAGGTTTGGGTACGCAACTACACACACCCTACCCAGATCTTGCTTTCGTGGGATTCTACTAGGTTGTTGGTGTTGCTGTTGTTGCAAGGAGATCTGGCAGCCGTGCCTCGATTTGGTGTCGTGACAACTAAGATCTCATCTCCTCTCTCCACTTCCCCATTTACTACTGTCTCCCTAGGGTAGAACCGTTGATGCAGTCACCACTGAATTTGTCTCCTTCCTCATCTTCTCCATCTCAGCCTGATGGCCGTTGTGCACCCAACTAGTTTCCGTCCTCAACAATCAAGTTTATTTATAATAGTTTGAGGGTCAAATAATTCACTCTTTTGTGTTGCTGCATTCATATAACATAGAGGTATAATCGTGCAAAAGAATTCTTTCCATTTGCTTGTTTCAAGAAGTTACTAGATTTTGAAATTGACTTGTTGAGTTACATGGGGGTCACATCACTAGTTACAATTGATAGGTGGCTTTTCTTATTGTACATAAACTTTACCAATTTTCTCTATTAATAAGAATTTCATTAAACCAGGTCATATATGGAGATACAGATTCAGTCATGGTGCAATTTGGTGTTTCTACAGTGGAAGAAGCCATGAGATTGGGTAAAGAAGCTGCAGATTTCATTAGTGGCACATTCACCAAAGTTTGTGCCCGCTCTTTTCTTTCTATAGTATTTTGCTCATATCATGCTTCTACCATTTACTCCCGCTATCCCAAAAAAGGTTCCAAATTTCCTTTTTGGTTTGTCTTAAAAAAGTTCCACTTTCCTATGAAGAAAAGAATTTTTTGGCCCATATTTTTTTCACTCTTCCCTGCTGAAATCTCAATAACACATTTTCACTTTTCTTAATAATTGTTCATGATCAAATTTGGTACCTTAATTTGGGACAGAGAGAGTATGCAATAGTTTCCTTGTAGTTATTTCAAATATGAAAAGACCAATGTTGTATTCTCTCTTTCCTTGTCTTTAATGTTGAATTATAATTTGATTCTATATACTATGCATGATATTAAGGTCTTCTAAAAAATAAGTAGATATGTTTTTTATTACTTGTAGAAATTCCGGCGGGCCGAGAACAACGGATAGAGTGTCGGGTAAAATTAACCACTTGCATATAAAGTCGGGATCCACAATTCTAACCCAAAAGCTTAAGCTCATAGGTAGGGCTTCACCCTTCAATATATGCAAGTGATACTCATTTTTATTTTCTGATGTGGGAACTCCAACACTCCCCCGCAAGTGGTAACTAGCCTGGCCTAGTTAGCACTTGGACAAACGGGTCTAGCATCTCAATCTCTTATAGCTAGCCCACACAACGGGCAGTGGCATCTCAATCTCTTTTTAGCCAACTCAGCCCAAACCACAGATGGGTAGCTCATTTTTGCTAAAACCACATCCAAACAACCAGGAGCAATCAAACCCAGACCGGACCTGCTCTGATACCATGTAGAAATTCCGGCGGGCCGAGAACAACGGATAGAGTGTCGGGTAAAATTAACCACTTGCATATAAAGTCGGGATCCACAATTCTAACGCAAAAGCTTAAGCTCATAGGTACACCTCTGATTATCAATCACATGGTATCAGAGCCAGTGTGCTCTAGGATTAGGGTTCATTATTTGTAAAAAAAAAGGGCTTCTGCCATTTTGACGCTGTCTCTAAGGGTGCTCGCCTGACGTCACCGCCACCGTGGGTGGAGTCGCATGTTGCAGGAGAACAATTCTGGAGAATCTCTCCTTCGTTGGAGACCTCACGCCCAGCCAGTGCTGGTCAGATCCCCTGTCAAAAATCACTGTCAGGGTCGCCTGAGTCATCTAAGCACCTGTGCAGACTCAGTTTGGACATTCAGTGGGTGATTTTTGCTCTGTCTTCCTCTGCCAATCAGGTTTTGTTCAAATTTTAGTCCATTGAAATGGGTGATAAGTCTAGTGTCATGTCTGAGGTTTTTCCAGTCATGTCAAAAATCACAGAGAGGAAACTTAATTCCTCTAATTATCTTGAATGGGTCACGACTATTAAATTATATCTCCGAAGTACTGACAAGGACGATCATATGACTGATGATCCTCCTAAGGATGCAACTACTAAGAAAGTGTGGTTGAGGGATGATGCTCGACTATTCCTCCAAATCCGGAACTCAATTGATGGGGATGTGCTTGGGTTAGTTGGCCATTGTGAAACAGTTAAAGACTTGATGAACTATTTGGAATTTCTATATTCAGGTAAGGGAAATCTTACTCGTATCTATGATGTATGTAAGGCTTTCTATCGGGCAGACCAGCAGGATCAATCTCTTCAAGCATACTTCATGGACTTCAAGAAGACATATGAGGCCTTAAATTCATTGATGCCCTTCACTCCAGATGTCAAAA